ATTGTTTTCGTCGTGTGGTGGAACAATCTAGTTGAAACATAAGGAATGCTAATTACCTCCCATTCTTTCCTTTTGTACTCGATTTGTGCCATGTATATTTGAATGACATATAAATTCATGTATTTCGTGTGCATTCCACACACACTTATAAAAATAAGGAATTATATGATGACGTGATATATCTTGTATACGTGTTATAATATGAGTGAATTACAGAAAATAGTATCACTAAATATTCACTTATATTATAGCATATGTACAAAATATACACGTGACCTTACTATTGTAATATTCTACAAACAAAATGTTAATACATTACATTCAATATATAGATTTATGTATGACTCCCATATAAACCTATTTTTCCACATTACACTCATGTATAAAGATTTTATTCACTTTACGAGCAAAATATAATATTTTGTATTCAATATATAGATTTATGTGTGTATTTCATTCATAAATTTATTTATTCCACATACATATAAAGATCTGTATCCATTTTACAAGCAAAACATTCGTATTTTGTATTTATATAAATTTAGGTGTATGTGAAACACGTAATATAAACTGAATAAGAAAATCAAAGAAGAGAAAAGTAAAAGGAAAGATAACTAGCATTTCTCATTGAAACACTGCAGCATCTTAAAATTGATTTTTAATCGAATTGTAATAGCCTTTTTTTTTTCTTTTCTGTGTTTATAAATTAAATTTTAATCAATACCCATCCTTCTATTATGTCATATTTTTTTTCTTTATGAGAAGATAATTAATGCAAGAAAATCACAGACTCCTCCTCGTCGTGGACCAAAAGGCTCATATGTCGACACAATGACACCTACCCTAGACTAAAACAAAATATCTGTCTTCACCTCCACTTCACGTCAATAAAATCATTCATCCTCGCCGTTTAATGAAGCTTTCGTGTTTAAAGTTGAAACACATCAAATCCAATACACAGCTGCGTGACTGTACATACCACACAGCCCTTTGTGGACCCCGCAGAATAGTGACATGTCCGTCTTATGACTCTTATCCAAAAGAAATTACAAGTAATATTTGTTTTGAGAAAAATTACAGGTAATAATATTAGATAAACTAACGTACTGTATTAACTTTTGAACACCAACTTTATTAAAAAAATAAAACTTTTGAAGAACGACTAATAATGTTTCATTTGCTTTTTGCGTCCATAACATAACAAATAAGAAACTATACAAGGATCTTATAGCTTAGTTGATTAGTAGTGTTTATTTTTGCACTCGAGTACTTAGGTTCGACCTCTTTTCTCAATTACAATTGTATTGGAAAAAGAAAAAGAAAATAGAACGTTAATTGGTGTCTAAACAGTTGATATAAACTCGTTTAGGAATAATTCTAGATAAAGCAGAACTACTTTTAGGGAGAAGCATATCTAATATGCTTCTTCATATAATCATTTTTAGTAATTTTAAATAATTTTTGGACAAAGCACCTCATATGTACTTTTACATAAAATTACTTAAAATAATTATATTGAGAAGTTATTGTTCATAATTTTTTTACTAAATTGAAGTTTTTAGTATGTATGTACCGGAATAGGATCTCTGACAAAATTAGTTGGTAAGGGTGAATTTTTATAGATACCATGAATTAAGTGAGTCGACCATAACAATATATTTGCCTCGAGTTTAATTTCCCTACTCGCACATTAAAGTAGTTTAAGAATAAATTTATGGTAAAAAAAACAAACGCGAATAACCACGTGGGAATCAATTATGAGGGGGGAGGCTGTTAAAGTAATTTGGAGAGTTGGGAGGGTGTGGGAAGGGTGCGTGTAATGGCGCCAAGTGTGTGGAGAACGCGTGTTGTAGTATTTTGTCGTGGATGGGCTTGTGGATGCACGGGACTTTCCGTGCGGCTTCGTCTGACCCCTTCACGACAAACCCAACTACCACCAAAGTTCCGAAATTCTCCACGGTTTTTTTTATTACTGTTTTCTGTACTCTGTTTACTAAATATATCTGCACATGGATGCGCAGGTCACTAGTTTCTCTTTTTGGCCTGGTGAGATATGGAGAGTGCATGGGCCCAGCCATCCAAAATCCCCAAAATAATGCACTCACTTCCACTTGATGCCAAAAATACCATGCCATTCATTTTCTTATGGTAATGTCAGTCTCATATTTCAAATTTATAAGTCCAAATTATTGAGAAATAAGTGGATGTCATACTTGATGCCAAAATAATTCATCACAAAAATATTGAAGATAGTCATCAATATGAGTATGCCAACGTGGTATATCTTGTCTGTGTTATAATATAAGTGGACGATATTGTTAAGATTTTTTATTTTATGAGATAATATCATTAAATATTTATTTATATTATAACAAGTAAATGAGTTATAATACCGAGTCATATCCATTTCCAAATTATAATTATAAAAAAAGTTGATATAGATCCAAATTTTCATTGAGAAGTTTGTTTTAATTCTCGGTATTAGTGACTTTGATACAAGTCATTGGCTTTTATGCCACGTAGGATTACATTCTTTTTTTAATATTTTTTGATATAATCGTGCTTATTTTAAATTATTTTTTATTCCAGTATTGCTCCTTATACCTTGAATCCATAACTGTAATTTATGTGATAATTACAGAAAAGAATTTATTATGACCATAATTAATTAACAAATTAAGTGCTTATGACCATAATGATATTTGTATATTAATTACGTTACCTCTTTTTTTTTCTTGTTTTAATTGCATCCATGAATTCTATTAATTGTATCCATGATTTTGTATATTAATATTGTCTTTTTTTATCTTCTTCTTTAACCCAAAAAGATCGTTGGCTTTCTTTCTCATTCTTTACGACCTCTTTATTAGGTAAATTGAAGAAGAATAATGTTACTCTTACCACATTTGTATACCACATCTTTATACCACAGTTGAGGTGGATAGCCGCATCAATTAAAATTATTTAATATTTTCTTTTCTTTTATAATTTATTACAGTATTTGTTTTTCTAATTGCCTTAATTAAAATACACTTAATTGATTTAATTGATGTGGCATATAAAATGGACATGACACATCATGTAGTATAGAAATGTGAGATAAAAATGTGGTAAGTGTAGCATTACTCATTGAAGAAATCAAGCAAAATATATATTGAAAATTTTAAAAAACCTATATGTCAGGTAAATTATATATTATCGCATACTTCCCCAATAATCAGGTACAATGCTATATTTACCTAGTAAGTTATGTAAATAATCTCACATTTACCTAGTAATTAGGTACATAATCTTATATTTACCTAGTAATCATGTAGATTAGAAAATTATACCCATATATACATATATTATATAAAGCACATTAGCTCATTGTACCTATATATTAGGTACATAAAAACGTCACCAATAGTTCTCTTGTTTATCTTGTTTTTTTGAAGTTTTTTATTTGTTGTTATGCTTAAACACCACGAATCAACTTAATAAGTATTAAACATATTGTATTTTCAATATTTGGGTGTTTACCTTATGCATAGGCACATAATTTCATGTGGATGCTTGTCTCATCGATTAGTATAATATGTGGGTCTTATTTTATCCATATATTAGGTAAATATTCACAAGGAAATAATTCAAATTTTAAATTATAAAATTCAATTATAATAAAATAATGCATTAATTTTGAATTTTCAATGTGTTTCTTTATTTACCTAAAAGGGTGAAATCTACACAACAACAAAAAGTAATAAAAATTAAAGGTCTTGCATCTAAAACCAAAACGACGAGGACTTGGCCTAATGACAACTAATCATTTTGAACTTAAATCTAAGAAGCCCTTATAATTACTCCATGATTAGTTGATACAACCTCACTTGCCACCTCATTTGTCATCTCATCATCTAGTATTCATTCAACGTTTGTTAACCATAATCTGTCTAATTATGAATCTATATAGATTAGTTGAGAGCATTGACTTAATATACGTTTTTCTTAAATATAGATTAGTTGAGAGCATTGATTTTTTTTTTTTCTTTCATAAAATATAGAAAATCCCTCAGTTTACATCAAATAGAGCCGGACCTTAACTCGTTCATTTAATGGATTTAAGTTGGCCCATTTCCGACCCGAAATGTTTAGATGACCTAGGCATGCACCCAGAATAACATATTTCTTCTTCATCCTAGCCTATTGGCTAGTGGCTAAAAGTTCCCAACAAGGTGAGAGGAGATATACATTCTTCTGTCACATCTATCTGTCATTTTTACTTCGTGAACCCAACAGCAGCCTTTTGCCCCTTTCCCTTTCAAATCAATGGCTTGGCTTCAATGCCGAAGGAAAGGTGGATTGTGTGGAGACTAGTGGTTGCCAGTTGCGACTTTGCTTAAATACAGTTACATGCTATGATGTCTTCAGATCCCTTTCTCAGAACTTCACTGTGATATTTTTCCTTTTACATTTTGACTCTTTATTTTTTGGTTTTTGTTCATAATTGCTTTGTGCTCCACTTCTCCACTTTTTTGCCAGGTACGTGACACATATCCTCTTACTGGGCTTTCAAGTTAAGCTAGCCGTAAAATACAAGAAGCTATAGCTGTCGAGAATTGATTTATTCGTTATATCTCTCTCATCACGTGAGATGGACCCAATCAAATGTTTCATATAAGTTTTTATGTGTCTGGAGTTATCCGCAGTACAATCAATTGTGGAACTTCATAAACATTGAACTTTAAATTGGTAGGATCAACTTAGGCCCATTGCAAATAAAACAATGGGCCTAATTTATTGTGAATCTGGCTTTAGGCCCAAAAGATGTCTTTTTTATTTTTCTGAAAACTGATCGCATTAAGCAATGAAAATATAAATTATACATCAGTCATTTGAATTAATTTACGGCCCGAAGGACGGGACATATCCCTCAATTTGTCCAGAAAAAAAATCTAAAAATTACAACAAAAAGAAAAAAAAGGGACATGTAATTAGTTCTCTCTCCAAGAGTAAAATGTTTGGTCACCTGTAATAAAAAAATTAAAAAAAAAAAGAAGAAGAGGAAAATAGGAGGTTTAGTCTATTTAGCACGGACACCACGTTGACCGTTGGACACGGGTGTCTGAGGAGTGTCCGAGTGTCCAACACTCCAACACTTGGGCTTAGTGGAGTATCCATGTAACATAGAGTTTAGTCCTGCGCAGCAAATAACTTTCTAACTTTGCGAATGGATCTTCGGCATATTGGACATATTTTGCTCTCCCCATAAAAAATCCTGCAACATGTATTCTCTGTAAGATAACAAAATTCGACACAAACCAACATGTTCTGAAACGTTTCTAATGTTTTAGGCTAAGCACACACACACCTCTGTGCACAGACGTAGCAGGTAGCACAATGTCCACAAGGAACCAAAAAACAATCCCTTTGCTCGGTGTAGCAGATCACACATATTTTCCCATCATACAAGTCCTCAGAGGAGCTTGTAATTGGGCCATTGCTACTATTACTGCTGCTGCTGTTGCTGCAATTTCCGGATTCTATATCCCACTCGTCACATGTCCCGTATGTTACTGGCATCGTCTTTCCGGGTTGTAACGTGCTTGTTTCAGTACTTTCTCTTATATCCTCTATACCGCCCTCCTCACCATCGTACTCATTTATGTACTTCAATATCATGTATGCAACAATCACAAGCAATGCTGCATTAATATATGGTTGAAGCTGCATTAGTTTGTAGGCATAAGTTATTAACAAAAATTTTAATTTTAATTTTTCGACAAAATCTTACTTAGAATTCCAACGTATGCAATCAAACGGGCTAGAAAAGTAAGCGTAATGCACCATTCCACCTGATCATCCTGTAACTGTACAAGGAGAAATCAAGATTGGTAAAAAAAGTTCATTATGCAGATGCTATTACATCAAGAAAATGAACATATGTGATGCCTTACGTCATAGGTGGTACTCGTTAAATTGTACGATTGAGAGTTGATCGATTGAAGCTTCCGGTGCTTCAGTCCATCTATTATGGAACACATTCCTACAGCTCTGCTATGATGCTTCCTGTGGTTATAATAATTTTTTCCCCTGCAGTATGAAAACAGAGATTTTAATGACATGCAGTGGCGGAACTATTAAGGCGCAAGGAGGTGTTGCACCTCCTTTCGCCGAAAAAATCATGTAGGTGCTTCAAAATGCCATTTTGCTCAACTAGTGTACAGATTACCTTATTTCCATTTTCAACATTTAAGTAAATGTCTTAAGGAAGTACCCCTATTTGGATTCAAATAAAAATACTAGAAAATCAAATTCCCACCAAATCAAAATATGAAAAATCGGTTTTAGTGCACAATATGATTTAGGCTAAAAATGATGACTCATTAAGTCAATATATACTTCATACTAAAATCCCATAAAATCAAGTTTTCTTATTTGATGTGTACAGAATAAAAGCCACCAAAAATTATCTTGAGAAAATGATTATTCCAAAAAACCATTTTCCATACTTAGCCAATATTGCACATTTGTTAAAAAAATTCTGGGTCCGCCAGTGATGACATACATCAATGTGTATGTGTGTTCCTAAATATAAAGTAACAGACAATTTTAAGATCTGAGGCCTCAACCAACGTTAGAACCTATAAAATTAGTTTAAGTAACATGTAATGGGTGGGACTCACAAGGGGATCAAATGTTCATATAATTAAACCCAAAAAAAGGAAGAAAAAAACATGAGCAAAATGAAAATTTGAAAATTCATAGACATATATAAAAAGCCTTTCTGCATTACCTCAAAAGACCTTGAATATAGACCCGAGTTCAACTCCGGTTTTCGCAGGATCCATGGAGAAACGCAGAGCACTTTGAGTACATTTCAGAAGGGAATGTCAATCTCCTCAGTTTTCATAGAGATCTCACTGACAAAATGTGAAGAAAAGTTGCTGCTCTGTGGACAACTTTTGCTAATAAGATGAAAGACTTGTACATTTAAGAATATATTAGCAATGTGGGAATAATGTGCACACAGCCTGTACCAAAAAAATTTGGTAGAAGCTAACAAGGCTTCACTTGAATGGCTTTGAACATGAGCAGCAGAAAGTTTGTCCGTAGAAGCCAGGCCAGGTTGGAAAAGACACTGACTGAGGTGTGATGGACATCAAAGATAGACTGGTAGTTGTTCATCTGGGGAATCTTCTTAACTAACCATCTTTTGAAAAAGTCTGGCGGGTAAGGGAAAATGCAAGACTTTCTGTGTGTCTTGAATGGTAGGTTGGCCGTTTTTGGGTAGGCAGGTGAGCACAAAACTCCAATTTTGGGCTTGGAACATGGTCCAACTTGAAAGTGAGATGAAAGTAGAAACTGCTTGACCTTACTAATTTACTTTCAGTTAATGTAATGGTAGGTCAGTTTGGAAATAAAAAAAATTATTAGAATAAATCAAAATAATTGTTTGCAAATTTGGACAGGTTGTCAAATGTTCATTTGAGTAAAGTCAAACTTTGGCTTTGTTATTTTTTTCTTTGGGTTCATTAAACTTGGCCCAAAGACAATCATATGAAGAAAAAAGGCTGACCCAAGTACATAAATAAACTTAATGAAGGCCCAACCATAAAGCAACAATGAAGCCTTAAGAAAATAAAACCAACACCAAGTACAAACCCAAATCAGAAGCCCAACAAAAAACAAGAAAATCCCCCTAAGCAAAGAAATTTTGAAATTGAAATCCTAGTACTGAATTTTTTAAAAAATTTATATCTTATTACATTATGGTTTAGGTCAATAATTATATATTGAATTGAAATGAAAAACCACTTAGGGCTCGTTTGATAATCATTTCTATTTTAGTTTTTAGTTTTCATTTTTTGTACTAGAGTATACAGGAAAAAGAGGAAGAATAAAAGTGAGAATGAGAGTGAAGATGAGCTTGAGAGGAAAGATGAGAGGGGAGATAATGAAAGGGAGGAGTAACAAAAGTGAAAACCAGCTAAAAATGAATCTATTTGAAATTGTTTTTACTTTTGTTACTACTTCATCCCATCATTTCCTCTCATCCTCTCTCTCAATCTCATCTTCATTTCCATTCAGATTCAGATTATCGTTTTCCTTTAGACTACAAAAAATAAAAAATAAAAAATAAAAAATAAAAAATAAAAACTAAAATTGAAATGAATTATCAAACAGACCCTTAATTTGGTGATTGTAAATATATTAAGGATAATGATTTCTCCACTCCAATTTTATCAACTTACACTTCTTTTTTAGTTATAAAATAAAGTGTAAGTGGATAAAATTAGATTGAAAAAATCACCACTCTATATTAATTCATCTTTTAATTTTCTTTTTCAATATTCAAATTCGAGACATATTCTAATCAAAAGGACAAAAGTGTCACTAAATCGACAGCAAATTGCACTGGTTTTGTCCTTCATGGATTTTGTACAGGTGGCCCTGCCATATGAAGTTCAAAAACCCAACAGATCGAATAGACAAGTAGAGGTAGAATTTGTTGTTTGGCTGTGCGGGCCCAATATCCCATGCATGCATTGAGCAGTGGGGAGGCAACGACGGGCTTACTTTTGGCATGCATTGCATGCTTTGTTGTTAAAGGCAGTGTTCTCTTCTGCATGTTGTTCATCAAGTACACAAAAGTGATTGACAACAAATTCATCAAGCAGTCGATTCAGATTACCCCAAAAAACTGCCCCCATAATTGGCTTGGGATTATTGAGGAATATATCAGATATATGTATGCTTTCTAGCTGGAACTTATTTTTACTTTTGATAAAGAATTTAGAATCAATTACAAATATACAAATTTATAAATAAACCAAATCCTAGACATGTATTTATAAAAAAACCCAAGCACTATTTAAACATAGAAACACACCCAAAATCAACCCCAAAGTCAACTTTTTGGGTGTGTTTATAAATGGGTTTTGAGTGTGTGTAATGATAGGTTTTGGGTGTGTTTATATGTTTCAATAGTACTTGGGTTTTTTTATAATTTCAACCCCCATTTTGGGTGTTTTAGTGAAACTCCCATCCATCTTTTCAGGTGGGCAGGCAGGATCCCTTTTTCTATAGATGATTTATCAGACACTTTGCATTAGTTGCATTACTGAAGCAAAATATAGAAATTAACAATTACAAAGTGTGATTAGATTGTTCGTTAAATGAGAGACATTGGAGTTAAAGTTGGTAAAAGTGAGAAATGTGAACGTGAATGTGAACAATTACGCATTTAGGTCCAAACCAAACACTAAAATTTCTTCTTTTGAAAAGAAAGAAAGGAAAAAAAAGAACCCTACGATCAAACTGCGGGTTTGTTACAAATGTGTCCCCATAGACACACACATTGCTTTCACCAAAGTGCGTCTTGTCTGGAAGTCTCATCAACTTTGCACTCTTTTTTGACATAGATACTTGGCTTTCGTCAAATTTTGTTTTTTCTTTCTTCTGCTCCAAAACCTCAACCTCAAATTTGGTTGTCTATGTAATATATCCATGTTCAATGTTCTGTCGCACTTTAGTGTCGATATATATTCAGAGTTTTCTTTTTCTTTTTGTGGAAAAAAAAGAGAGAAGGCAAATTCAACATAAAAGTCGACCAAACAGAACCCTCCTGGAAAACTTCATGCATTGTACATTAGCATGAGAAAAAGGAGGGCTTAAAAAGAAAGAACAAACAATAAAGGTTGCAGTACGCTTGAAAGAAAAGCACCAAATCATATTAAAGATCCAGTTGTAATTTCTAGCCTTGTAAAAATAGATTTCAGTCTCTGTAATTTACAGATTAATCAAATCCTTACACGAGGCATTACATATTAGATAGCGGGGATAATAAGGAAACAATTATACTTGGTATCGGATATTAATTTACAGTACTAGTGACAATGTCCTAGATAAGAAAAGTTGGTATTCGATATTAGCCAATTACTCTCGTAGGTAATATTTTTCTTTTTTTATGTTTGATTAATTGCACTGCTAGAAATTTAGTAAAGACTGGGCCGCCCTTGGCCAGGGCAACGACGGCCACCGCCCAGGGCCCACAATTTAGAGGGGCAAAAAAAAAAAAAAAAAGTCTATGCATATGCATATGCAAAAAAAAAATTAAAAAAAATAAAAAGTCCTCATAAAAAGATAAAATAAAACTAAAAGTAAAGGGGCATGTGTGATATTTATTGAGAGTCTCACTTGGTTGTATAAAACAATAATAAATAAAGGCACACACATATGCAAACAAATCTAGAAGCTAAGGTAGTTAACATTATTGTTTTCCCAAGAATCATACGGAGACTCTTGAAATCAATCGAATTTTATTTTTGTTCTCTCTGAAATTGAGTGTGAAAACAAAGCCATTTTGAGTTGGAAATTGATTAATCTCTCTGAAATTGGGAGCACCAGCACCAGAGCACAACATACAAAACCTAAAATACAGGTTTTATTGTTCTTTTTAAATTAAAATTATTAAAATCTTATTTGCAGACCATCATGGCTCAAGATAGACTAAATGGACTAGCAATATTATGCATTGAAAGAGATACATTGGAAAACATTAAATATGATAATATAATTGATGATTTTGCTTCCAAAACTACAATAAGTAGACATTTTAAATGATCTTTTGTGATTGGGATTTCATTGTTATTTTTATTTTGTAAGCGCACATGAAAGTGAAGCATGGGAACACATGCAAGTTAATTTGTTGTTGAATGTAATGTTTTTAATCGGGCACTCTTTTTCCTTCGTTTAAGATTTTGTTCCCATTGAGTTTTCCTCAAACAAAATTTTAATAAGGCCAAAAGCTGCACTTACTTGCGGCAGTCGATCGACTCGACACCTTTTGTTTCTTTTTATTCCACTACATAGCAAGAGACGCGCATTAATTAGTAACATGATGTTATAGTATTCTATTAACTTTTGAATTTGAGTTTGAATACAACTTTTTGTACCGTTCGAACTCACAATCTAATTTATCATCTTTTCAATATAAGCAAGACTCATTCATTCGTGTTGTCTTAATATAGAGAGCTTCGATGCAATGGTTAATAGCAGTTATTCCTACACGCAAAGTTCTGTATTCAAATTCCTCTTCTAATATCGCTTAGAGCATCTCCACCCACAAGGGCTAAGTCTAAGGCAAGGGCAAGCAAGGGCTGCCACTATTCACGT